TACCCATTTTGCTTTCCTTTTTAAAGAATCCTGTTCTTTTAGGAGTGTTTGATGTTCATCATAAGCATTCAGAAGCCTGAGAGGGAAGGAAAAACAATCCTTTGGAATAGACAAAAGCCAAACTTAAATTTTTAAAGTGTTTAAGTTATTTCCACTTAGGGAAGCAAAAGCATGTTGCAATGAACATCCTTTTGGAAAAAAAAGATCCAGCAGGCAAAACTGCCCCCAGCTACCTTTTCTATGTTATCTGCTTTGGCAAACCGCTGCCTTGCACTTTCCTTCTCAGTCCATGTGGTTCAAATGAGGCTTCAGAGATACAGGCCTAGCCAATTACCTTACTACGTATCTCTGACCAATGACTGGTTTAATCTCTGACCAATGACTGGTTTAGAGGTGATCATGTGACTCAAACCAGGATGTCAGTAAGTCCCAGGATTTTTGACTGAGCTACTGAAAAAGTGCCTGTTCTCGGTACTACAGTGGGCTAAAGCTGATGAGATACTGGCCAAGAGCTACCTGTTTTTATTATTTGTAACACATAGGGAGAGCCCGACTAAGGAGCTATCACACAACAAAGACAGTGACCTTGGCAATATGTTTTCGTCCAATGCAACAAGTCCTGACAGCTACATAATTTGTATACTTTTGAGATCTAACTTAATGCTTATTAAAGACACCTGCCACCAGTTAGGATAAAGTGTAAACTTTGGCCATGTGATAAATTGAATTAGAACTAAAATAAAACTACAGTATAATTAGTTATCATTGATTAAAAAGATAATTTTTAATAAAAAAATTAATGTGATATGTATTATAGGTCTCACCTGGAACTTAGAACTTCAAAAACAATGTCACTTGAAGCCAAACTGACTTTAAAACCATAATGATTTTGTTTTCCTTTTACCATTTTCTTTTTATTTTTTGAGCATGGAATCCTAACCACTGGACCACCAGGAAATGCCCTCCTTTTACCACTTTCTTAAATATTTTTTAGAAAGACAAAGATGGCCTTATTTTTTAAGGAATCAGAAACTTGAACACAGATAATTAACATTTCTGTGGAAATGACCTTGATATTTACATGCATGTTCAATTTCCCTGGACAGCCTGCATATGTACACATTTAATAACAACAGTAACACTGGTCCCAAAATATTCCAGGGGCAAAAACTGTCAATACCAGTAATATCTGGTTCAGTGTTTACTCAACATAAAGGACTTTAAATGGACTAATTTCCTTAAGACCTTTAACAACTCATGGGTTGGCAACAAGAGACTCAATATTCATATGAGAAAATCTGAAAACTGAGGAATACAAAATATTAAGTGAGAGCTAGGATTTAATCCTATATTTGTCTGACTGAACATTAATTCTTACCAATTCATTACAATGCTACCTAAATTTCTAAGCAACTCATTTATTTTCCATATCACTCCCTTTTTAAATTTCAAATACAACAATCTTAGACCTGATACTCAGACACTCCACAACTATATTTGCAAGGGCCTAACTGGCATCCTTGTGTCGAACCTCAGATTTGTCTGTATATTACTGCCAAATTTAAATATGTCATTTAATCTAATTCAAAACTCGAATAGCTTCCTACTGTCAACCGTGTACATGTGCTCAGAACTCAGTCTAGCTTTTAAGACACAGCACATTTAGCATCAAGCTTTTACCACTTCATAAAACCCTCCAATCAAGCAGATGTTCTTTTTACATGAACTTTAATTTGCTTCCACCATTTTATCCTCTCCTTAGCTTATCAGAATCCAGTAATAACTAAATGAAGCCCCACCTCCTCTATGAAAGATGCCAAATACATTCTGTTCCAGAGAGATCACAGCCTTCTTAACAGTTATATGCTACCTCACATACTTATGTACAGCCTCTCTAGTCACCATACCATCCAACTAGACTAAAAGCTAGAATTACATATGCCATTTCTTTTGTATACTTTCTTCAGTACAAAACAAAAAGAAGACACATAGAGCACATGAGGTGGTTAAGAACACAGGCTCTGAAGCAGGTTCTAATCCCAGCTGCACAATGTAATAGCTAAGTGACCTTGGAAAAACTGCCTAATCTCTCTTTAAGCCTCTCTTTGTCTATTAAAAGACCAGTACCTCCTCCCCTCATTAGACTGTTAATGTACTTTACATTAGGTAATTATAGAACTTTTAATGTGCCAAGCACATATACACAGTTGTATTAAAATGTAACTCATATTAAACGTTTTTCAGTTTAATTAAAATCTTACTCAGCCATCAAAAATGTATACACACTTGCCTAACAAGAATTGGAGTATTTCCTTACTAGAACCAGGTAAGAAAGGAATGGCAGCAATGCTCTAATCAATATTTCTACTCTTCTGTTTTGCAGATTTAAATTTTAAACTTGTCCTTTTCTCCACCCTCATCTTTTAGCCTTTTATAATGCATGAAGATGAGGTCATTAAGGCATGATCTGTAAAACCACACCCATCCTCTTCTCTAATCTGAGATGGCTTTCCTATTCCAGAAAACCCCATCTACCTTTGGTGGTCTATATATTAAATGTTTCTGTGTTTCAGGGTTCAATCCTTCACCCATTTCCTTTTTCATAGAATTCCTGCCTCCTGCTTTCTCTCATCTACTCATTGTTTAAATTACCACGCTAAAATTCTGAAAATAATTTTGAAGCAAAGACAAACCATACCTCTCATTAAGCACACAGACATTTGCAAAACTGAATTTACCCCCACATATACCCGAGGAAAAAGAAACCTAGGAAACATTTTAAATTTAACAATATATTATTTTGTACTCATCATCAAATTCCCACCCAAAATTATCAGTGCTCTATTACTATACAGATAGATAATAATATATAATTAAGATCTTACTTATTAACATCTGAACCAAAATCTTCAAGAAATTCCACTTTTCTCTGAGAAAATGTAATTCTCATTTTCATAGGTAATGAACCATGTATAGCTTTGTCAAAACAATTTAGGATATTTTCTTCATTTTGTTTGAGGTCACCACTATATTCCATTTCAAGTAAATTGAGGTATAACTTTGTGTTCTCCTGTGTAAAAAGCAGTACCAATTAATCATATTTCTAAGATATTTTGATTAGACCACAGATATTTTAAATGCCTTAATTTTTATGTCTCAACTTGAAAAATTCAATATTGAAAATTGTATTAAAATGTAATTCATGTTAAACTTTTTCAGCATACATCTAATAAACAGGTAAAAAACTAATAAGCACATTGGTAGGTAGAGACATCATCCTAGCATCTCCTAAACTATGCAAATTGTTAAATGCCAATAAATTAAAACCCTATATCCTATCTTGGGTTTAATGTAGCTTGACCTACCATAACAAATATGAAGTAAAACATAAAAAAATGATCTCCACAGTTCCCAGTAATCTAAATCTTCACAACCATAGATAATCTTCCTCACTGCAGCTGGAAGCAAACCTCTTATAAACCTGTGTCTTAAACAGACCTGTCATTAGCCGAAAATCTAAAAAATAAGAAATTTCCTAGACACTATCTTTTGACATCAGTTGATATATAAAAGGAAATACTTTAGAAAAGGAGAATAATCTCACTGTTACATTTGTTACAATGTAGGCAACTGCCATACTTTTGTTTATAAAGTGTTCTCAGGCCCTCTACTCTACTTAATAATCAATAAACTTGCCGTAAAATTTCTAAATGTGGAGAAAATAGAAAATCCAATAATGTTAATTTTCTCAACCTTTTAATGATAATTTGAAAATTTTTTAAAATGGCAACATCAGTTTAGAGGGACTGTTGTCTTCATTTAGTAATGAAATATATTACATACAGACCAAACCTTTCATCATAGTTGCCAAAATGAAAAACAACAACAAAAAAGACTACTTTTTTTTAATGGAAGGTATTCTAAAAAACACAAATACATACTTTGTCTCTTTCAATAGCTTCCAAAAGCACCTTTCTTGATTTTGGAAGGTTTTTTTGTATTTTGAAAAGATGTCGGGCTAGTTTGATAGCATAGAATGATGATTCATTATTTGATTTGGCATTTTTAATGGCTTCCTGAAGCAAACGTTCAGCTTCTTCCATATTTCCAAGCCGTCGTTCTAAACTTACTCTTCTCAAACGAACCATTGCCAATCCTAGAACACATTCTTCAAATGTTCTCAAGATATTCCTGGCTTCATTAATATTACCTAGAAATAGTAATTAAACGTTTATGTTTTTGTTTAAACTTATGAAATATCCTTTATGCCAGGTACTGGCAAATAACAGCCCACAGGCTAAATCCAGCCCTCTGGCTATTTTTTTTTTTGAAATGGAAAACAGCCATTCATTTTTTTATGTTACTGTCTATGGCTATTTTGCAGCTACAATGGCAGAGTTGTTAGGAAAGAGACCATATGGCCTGCAAAGCCTAAAGTATTTACTATCTGGCCCTTTATAGAAAAAGTTTACCTGACCTCTGCTTTACACCATCTCTCAAGACTCAATTCCTATAACTTTATCCTAAAGTAACTTAAATCCCAAAATATCAACTGAATTTCCTCATTCTTACCCTGCTGTTCCTCAAAAGCTGCCCAAAGCATATGCACCATGGGTTTCTTTGGGAGATGAATTGTGCAAGCTCTGCTGAAGACATGCCTCACTCCTTCAATGCTATGATTTTCCATATACTTGGCATACTACATACAGAAACAGAGGAAATACTGAATAATTTACAGTTGAACAAGCCATTAAATATGTGACAGAACGATAAAATTCTATTTTTAAACCCATTCAGCACCTTTATTGAACCACTAGACTAGTTTCTGTAAGGAAGGACGAAGAGAGGCAACGAGGTTGGCATATGCAGCAGTCAAATCTGGTTGCAAGCAGACCATCTCCTAATGCAACAGATATAGTTATATGAACAACATTCAACAGAAGAACAAAAAAGGTTAGTCACTAGATCAATGTTTATAATATATTCAAGTTTCAGAGCATATAATTTTCTTACCTTAATCCAAAACTCCTCATAGAGGGCACATGATATGACACATCTTTCAAAGAGAACCACAACTCGTTCATGAGTCCCATTTTCAATTTCAAATTCTAAGTATTCTTTCCAGTTTTTCAGTTGTGCCTTTTCCAATGGTTTCACATGAAAATAAGGTCTTTTAATCTGTAATAAAAGCATGACATGACAATGAAAGTACACCAGTACCAACACCAAAATATGTATGACTACAGTAATACAAATTATTTAAATTATAAATACAATAATGAACCAAAAAATTTTAATCACCATATCTCATGAGTAAAAAAACTTCTAAAATTAAAATCCCTTTAATTACTTAGGCTTTATAACTTGAAGAAACAATGTATTTTCCACTTACCCATTTTAACAGAACTACACAATTTTATGTTCAGAAAGCTGTATTCTTTGCTGACTATTTTAGAACTGAACAATTATACCAAAGTAACAGAAAGCAGATCAGTGTCCATCCAAAGATGAATGGATAAAGATGATGTGGTATATGTACACCAATGGAATACTACTCAGCCATAAAAAAGAACAAAATAGGGCTTCCCTGGTGGCGCAGTGGTTGAGAGTCCGCCTGCCGATGCAGGAGACACGGGTTCGTGCCCCGGTCCGGGAAGATCCCACATGCCGCAGAGCGGCTGGGCCCGTGAGCCATGGCCGCTGAGGCTGTGCATCCGGAGCCTGTGCTCCGCAGCGGGAGAGGCCACAACAGTGAGAGGCCCGCGTACCGCAAAAAAAAAAAAAAAAAAAAAAAAAAAAAAAAAAAAGAACAAAATAATGCAATTTGCAGCAACATAGATGCAACCAGAGATTATCATACTAAGTGAAGTTGGTCAGAAGGAGAAAGACAAATACCATTTGATATCACTTATATATAGAATCTAAAAAATAAACTAGTGAATGTAACAACAAAGAAAAAGGAAAGTAGATCAGTGGTTGCCTGGGGTAGGAGTGCAGTGTAGGTTACTGACTGAAAAGGGGTTCTGAGGTGACAGAGTAGTTCTATGTCCTGATTGTTGTGGTGATCACAATGCATATACATTTGTCAAAAATCATTTTACGAGCCAGTCACAAAAAACCACATACTACATGATTCCATTCATGTGAAAAGCCAGAAGAGGGAAACCTATAGGAACAGAAAGTAGATTAGCAGTACCTTAGGGCTGGGAGTTGGGGGCAGTAAGCAGATGAGGGAGTAGAGGGGTGAAAGCTAAAGAGTAAGGGATTTCTTTTCAGGATGAAGAAAATGTCCTAAAATTAACATTAATTAAATGTTCTAAAATTAACTGTATGTACCTGTGAATAGACTAAGAACTACTGAACTGTACACTTTAAATGGGTGAACTATATATGGCATGTGAATTACATCTCAATAAAGATGTTTAAAAAAAACAGAAATAAAGAGTTAGAATTCTGAAAAAAAACACCTCATTTTACTGTAACTAAAATAGGTACATTTTGTTGTACATAAAACTCAATGAAATTGATTTTAAAAATTGAACTGTAATAAAATGGTTCAGATTAAAGATAATTTGCAATTCACGTGTCTGAATTCAATGTTTCTAAAATTGATAATGGAAAATGATAAAATAATGGAAAATTGATAATGGAAGCCATTAAGTAGGACAAATACCTCATTACTTAAATAAGCAAAAATAAAAGGCAGAGACATCACTCAAAACTAAAAGAAAATACATTACTCCTATCTGTATTTTGAAGCATATAATGACAATAACAAAAAAGCAAGTACTTACACCTTCTTCAAATGTCCATCTTTTACTAACTTCATGTTCATTATAATTAAACATTTCTTGATGAATTTCAATGATTCTATGTCTCATGTTTTCTATTTCAGTAATTAGCTAGGGAAGAAAAAAAATTTTAATCACACAAGTTATATGCTAAAATTTTAAATATCACTGCTTACATTTAAGCATTATCCACCCACACTATAGTCTTAGAATAGTGACGGGTTTTTAACCGTTATCAATTACTTGCAAAGTACAATTAACAATACTGAAATCTGTAAAAGTACTTCCTAATAAACTACTTTCTCATATGCCTTTTCAAAGACAAAAAACAGGGCTAGTACATCACAACATAGGCCAAATAATCCTTCTAAGCTAACATAGTTTTTCAGGTGTCTCATAGTAAAACACAATATCTACTCTAAATCAAACTAGCTAAAGAATTCCCACCTGCCTTAATCAGAAATTGATTTTATATGGGCTACAAGTCATACCACACATGCAGTCAAGGGACATAAAGTTTAGTTTCTCATGCACTGAAAGATTTTTTTTAATAAGTCTGGTTACCTTTGCTGGATCAGTTATGTCTTCAATTCCTGATGGTAGATCATCACCAGGAGGACCATCATCACCACTATGCCCATTTACAGAAGCTAATTCCCTTCGCAGCTGAATAAACTGTTCACCAGTTAGAAGATCTCTAGGTAAGTTATTCTGTATATGTTCTTTAAATCTAAAGGAAAACAATAAAAATACAAGCTCTATATATGAAGTATAATTTTAGATCCCATGTTACTTTTCTACTACACATTACTCTTTCAAAGGAACTCTGATTTAAAGAAGCCAAAACACCACACCCTTTCTCCTTTTCTACAGTAACAACCTACCACTTGATAAAATAGTCTACAGACATCTTCATTTCCTTCCTGCCTTTGCAATGGAATGATGGCGTGGACAAGTCATACATTGAAATCCTACTTCTGTCCATTACTAATTATTTGACTTATAGGAAGTTTTTCCCTTCTCTACATCTTGGTTTTCTCATCTGTCAAGGGACTGTAAAATTAAATACAGCAATCCATGTTTAAATTATAAGTGATTACTTATAAATGATCAATGAATTTTGCAGTTCCTTCCTCACCTCCCAATTACTCCTGAATTCACATGTCTGTGCCAAACACTCCAATGAAATTGCCCTAATTAAAGTCACCAAGTACCTCTTACGTGCAAAATTAAATGGATACTTGTTTTATAGTACAGCCTCTATCCTAATAATGTCCTCAGTACTTAAGGCTGTTAACTAACCTTCCTTATAGAATCTTCTTCACCCTGGGCTCTGAGTTACCACTTTCTTGGTTTTCCTCCAAGTCTCTGACTGCTCCTTGATTCCAGCCTGCCCCCAAATGCTAGTATGCCCAATGATTCCACTCTGCATTTTGTTCTCATCTATTTTTATATACTTTCTGTCCAATCTTATTAATACAGCTTGAAATAATAAGCATACTATGACTTTAAAACTCTAACTTAGGCCCAAACCTTTTCCCTAAATTTCAGATTAGTATATACAACTGCCAATACTCTGCATAAAGAAATATAGATTTTAAGCAAAGAGTGTTTTGAAAAACATGTCATTTATCTACACACACTAGTTTATATATATATATATATATATATATATATATATATATACACAAATTTTAATCAAAAACACCAAGTTGAAGAGCTAAAGTATCTACACCATCTCAATTTGGAACCTTATATACAACATGTCTATAAGTGTGTCACTTTCATCCACAAATCAACACCGTCAGCATTTCTAATCTTTTTTTAAATTATTATTTATTTATTTATTTAGGCTGCACAGGGTCTTAGTTGCAGCACACGGGATCTTTGTTGCGGCATGTGGGAACTTCAGTCGCGGCATGTCAACTTCTTAGTTGCAGCGTGTGGGATCTTTAGTTGCAGCATGCAGGCTTCATAGTTGCAGCATGCAGACTTCTTAGTTGTGGCATGCGGACTCCTAGTTGCAGCATGTGAACTCTTAGTTGCAGCATGTGAACTCTTAGTTGTGGCACGCATGTGTGATCTAGTTCCCAGACCACGGATCGAACCCAGACCCCCTGCAACAGGAGCATGGAGCCTTACCCGCTGGACCACCAGGGAAGTCCCAACATTTCTAATCTTGCATCTTGATATTGTCAACCACTAAGTTGCCGAATCTCTTGCAACTACCTTATCTCTTACATTCCACTGGATATTAGGTCCAATTTAGTCTACCTTCTAAATATGACTTCATGCTCTCCTCACTACTCAGCTAGATAAACATAAACCGGTCTTCCAGCCTCTGGTCTCACAGCTTCTAACCCCACCTCAATATTGCTATCAAAAATGTTATTAAGGGCTTCCCTGGTGGCGCAGTGGTTGAGAATCTGCCTACTAATGCAGGGAACATGGGTTTGAGCCCTGGTCTGGGAAGATCCCACATGCCGCGGAGCAACTAGGCCTGTGAGCCACAACTACTGAGCCTGCGCGTCTGGAGCCTGTGCTCCGCAACAAGAGAGGCCGCGACAGTGAGAGGCCCGCACCCCGCGATGAAGAGTGGCCCCTGCTTGCCACAACTAGAGAAAGCCCTCGCACAGAAACGAATACCCAACACAGCCAAAAATTTAAAAAATAAAGTTATTAAAAAGTAAACATGAAAAATAAAATAGTAAACAGGATCATATCCCACCCTCATGTCAAAATCACTTCAATGTTTACCCTGCATTCAGGTTAAAATCCAATCTCCTTAAAGTCTTTCATATTCTGACCTAACCTCTGACCCAGACCTACCTCTTCAACCTAATTATCAGACATGGTTGTACATGTACCATATGCTCCAACCTTATGGATTTTTTTCCCCAAGTTTCTTAAAGTTTCTTAAAATTGATTTAGTCTACTGACACCTGGATTTTTATGGATTTTAAGACTTTCACAGGGACTTCCCTGGCGGTCCAAGGGTTAAGACTCTGTGCTCCCAATGCAGGGGGCACAGGTTCAATCCCTGGTAGAGGAACTAAGATCCTGCATGACGCATGGCATGGCCAAAAAAAAAAAAAAAAAAAAAAAAGACTTTCACAAACATATGTAAATAACATTGGAAACTAATTTAAATTTTGCAAAATCAGTTAATACAGAGGCTTAACTTGACCTATTTTATCACCAGGAGGACAAAAATACAGATTGCCTTATTAAAAAAAATTTTTAATGAGAAAGTAGCTCTCAAATGTGTAGTATGAAAATGAATAGATTTAACACTCAAATAAATACTAAAATTAAAAATTGTCAAGACATAAATAAGAAACTTGAAATAAGGTAAAACTGAAAAATAACTACTTATAGAACATAAATTTAAAATAATTGGACTTCCCTGGTGGCGCAGTGGTTAAGAATCCTCCCACCAATGCAGGGGACACAGGTTCGAGTCCTGGTCCAGGAAGATCCCACATGCCGCAGAGCAACTAAGCCCCTGTACCACAAGTACTGAGTCTGCGCTCTACAGCCCGCGAGCCACAACTACTGAGCCTGTGTGCCTAGAGCCCATGCTCTGCAACAAGAGAAGCCACCGCAGTGAGAAGCCCGCGCACCACAACAAAGAGTAGCCCCTGCTCGCCACAACTAGAAAGTCCATGTGCAGCAACAAAGACCCAACACAGCCAAAAAATAAATTAAAAAATAAAATACAATAAAAATAAATAATTGCCACATTATATATATAAACTTCTTTCACATGGTGATAAAATATGCATAATACTAAACAGTAATACTCCATTAGCTTTTTCTACTATAAAGCTAATATATTCAATATAGAATGGCTGAGTGCCTAATACTGGGTTGGCCAAAAAGTTCGTTAGGGGTTTTCTGTAAAGGAAAATACCTGTTCCTAGGTATTAAGGCCAAAAAGAATTAAAAATCCTCAGAAACTGACAGACATGTGAGGATACAAGACACATAAATTCAAAACAGTGTTATCAGTGCTAAGATAAATGAAATAAATGTAGGTAGAGTGCTGGCACAAAAGACAAAACAGACACTTCTGTTTAGGTGAACTGGAAAAAGTGTCATGGAGAAAACATTAAGCTGTATGGGTCTTAAGGAATATGAGTTCACCAGACAAATGGAAAGTGGAAAAGGTATTACAGTCATAAAAGCATAAAACATCACTGCCCTTTGGGAAATTATCAGTACTCAGGTTATGTCTAGAGTTTAAGAACTACCAGGGACTGGGCCTGAAGAATTAGATCATATTCCAAAAGTACTCATGCTAAGGAGGATTTTAAATTAGATATATTCTTAGAGATAATGTTCAGTGTATAGCCAATATACAAGCCTACACAACAGAAATATTTCTATTACAGCATTTAGTTATTTTAGCACATGCTTCCTCTTCTACACTTTTGAGCAACTTGAGGGCCAAGTCAATGCATACATCTTCTTTGGGCCTTTATTCCTACAACTTAAATGCATATCATCTGGTACATGGCAAGCGCTAAGTAACTGACTTTAAGTAGGAGAAGTATATTTGGCAAAAGAAAACATTTCAGCAGTTCTCAAAGCAATTAGTCATGTGAATTAGTTTACTTATATTAACTATAAGATTTACTTATACCAATACTACTTCTGAGTTTGCTATACTCATAAGGAAAGTGGGTCTCATTACATTAAGTGAAAAAGAGTAGATTAAAAAGCAGTATGTGTAATGCAATCCACTAATCTCTATTATACTCATACATGCATTTTTAAAAGCCCAGTGAAATATTAAAAAAAGAAAATACTACACCAAGAACTTTGGGGCCACACTGTCTAGGTTCCAATCAGCTTCCAACCACTTACTAATTCTGTGACCTTTTGCAAATACTTTAATCTTTCTTTGCCTCTACTTCCATAAAATATAGATAAATAATAGTACCTATATCTATACCTGCTTAATTGTGACGATTAAATGAGTTATAAGGCACTCAGAATACTGTCTGTATAACTGTTTCCTAGTCATATTTTTTCTTACCAACAATAAAATTATTATAATCATATATTTTACCTATACTTTAGACCCTAGAAGAATTGGTTTATGAAAGGAACCCGCTTTGTCCCAGAAAACTTTTTAAATCTTTTTTAAAGGCTATTAAAAAAACATTAAAAATATTTTTTTAACTTTTTTAATTCAGTCAACAAGTATTTACCAAGCATCTCCACATGCCAACCCTTGTGTTAATAATCTCTTTCAGCAAGTGTCTCCCTAGGTCATTATACCCTAGAAACCTGCCCACCTCCTCTATCTCATGAAAAACAGAGATGGTATATTCAGGTCCACATGCTTTCTGTTTCTAACCTGGGTCTACATAGCTTAGCAAATTGATCCACAGTTCTGTACAAACGTTTCATAAAGTTTTCTAATTTGTTAGTAGAGAAAAATTTAGAAAATCACTTACTTAATAACTACCTAAAGTTTACAGGCTCTACCACAATACTAGTTATAAAAATTATGACAGAAATATGGCAGTTAAGAATAGCAAACATTTATCAACACAGTCCTCATAACTTTCTTGTTCAGAAAGACTAAGTCTGTATTAGTGGGATCCTTATTAGTGGGATACTTTGAATACATCAGAAACATGGAAATCACAGTACACAGAACTAGTTGTTTTAACAGCACTCATTAAAATGAAATGATACCAGTCATAACAGATTATCATAGTAGAAAATTAAACTGAAATTATTTTTGATTGTTTGAATATAAACAGGACTTACTATATAAAATACATTCTTCGCTCTTTTGGATATAAGATGTTACGTGAATCACAAGAATGGACCTTTAGTAAACCATTATGTTTTAAATAAGCATCAATTATGTGCCATGTACTGTGTTAACCATGAAGAATAATTAAACTTAGATTCTTTTCTCTCATTCCTTCACTACTCTGAAATATCTTAGACAAAAGACAGGATTCCTATTGTTTCCTCACCTATAAAACAGATAAAAAGAACATTCTGTCTAAAACCAGTAAAGTTCCTAAACATTTTATAAGCTATACTGAAAATGTCAAAATCTAAAAGTGTATATAACTTGTGATTACCGAGCAATAAAATTTATTCCTGTTTGCGTCTAATAGAATCTTACATTTCAAGAGAATAAGTATCCTCATTATTGGAAATTAATTACCTGAGTAATCACAAAAAAATTTTAACGACCTGATTTTTCCACTCACCTCTGAAAATGATGACTGTACAGCTGTGTTGGAATACCAAGAATACGATCGTATATAGCTGTAACTTCTCTCAGGTTTCCCTGTTCATTTTCCCAGTTTATATACATTTCCCAGAGCCTGTCAGATCGGAAATCTGTTCCTGCAGCTAGAACAGCATGCTCAAAAGTTCTGAAAAATTAAATTACCTCCAAGTTATCTTTCCAAGATAAAATCACTTTAAAAATATTATTTCTACACTTTGCAATATATACAAATATCAAATCATTGTCATACTCCTGAAACTAATAAAACATTTCTAAATTTTAGAAGATAATACTAAATGCAAAATTATATTCAACTTTATACAAGTAGAGATTCAAAGGAAGAAGGAATAGTAGAAAAGTGTATGACAGTTGCTTAAAAAAGGGAAAACATAAAGGGAATAGGTAAATGTAATTTTATGTAACTGTATATTTGCAATGCAAATTACACAGCAAACATATAAGAGTAACACAGTAGACACTAAAATATTCGTTAAACTTGAAATGTCTGTTGAATAGATTCCTTTAGGGCAAAAGACAAAGAGACAAAATTTATCTCACTTTAAGAAATAATTTTCTGGCAAAACAACTCTCCAACAAGGGGTCCAGCTGCCTTGTCAGGTAATGAGAAATATACACATATTCTAAAACTCTCAAAATTCTCTAATTCTAAAATTCTACAGTTACAGTTTACTACAAAATCATTTATTTTAAAATACTTAGCTCATTTGAAGAGATTTCTGTAAGCAATTTTAATCACTGGATTTGATATTCCAATGGGATAAAATTTTAGGTACATGTTTTCAAAATAAATATTAGAATCAAGAGGGATTTTTTTTTTTTTTTTGCGGTACGCGGGCCTCTCACTGTTGTGGCCTCCCCCGTTGCGGAGCACAGGCTCCGGACGCGCAGGCTCAGCGGCCATGGCTCACGGGCCCAGCCGCTCCGCGGCATGTGGGATCCTCCCGGACCGGGGCACGAACCCGTGTCCCCTGCATCGGCAGGCGGACTCTCAACCAGTGTGCCACCAGAGAAGCCCCAAGAGGGATTTTTAACAGTATAAACTACACTACCTAAATTAATCTACAACTTTAACTGAATGCTAATCAAAGCTCTAAGAAATTTTGGATGGAAGAGAAAAAAATTCTAACATTCATCTAGCATACAAAAACGCAAAGCATTTTTGTAAAAGTACAAAGCAGCAGGCATTTTCCTGAAAGGTATCAAAAGAAACTAGAAAGCTATAATAATTAAAAGTATGGCACTGGCCTGGTATCAGAAAAATGGATTAACAAAACAGTTCCCAAGAAAACAAAATAGATCTATGTATATGTGAGAGTTTAGTATATGATAAAGTATTTTAAATCAATGCACAAAAAAATTTTTTTAATTTAAAAAATAAAAAAATAATAAATCATTGCGGAAAAGAAGGACTATTCCAAATGGAAAAAATAAAAGGTTAATCTCTGACTTGCAAAAGACGCAAACTAAGGTTAATCTGTTTCACAAAAGACACAAGCTAAATGTCAGATAAGTGAACTATAAAAAAAAGCCTATAAAAAGAATTAGAAAAAAATTCAAGATTTATATATTCTTGGCAAGACAGGCACAAAACTCAGAAACCAATAAAAGATTACAAATTGAACCACAGTAAGAAAAAAACAAAAACAAAAACCTCTATATGATAAAGATACCCTAAACAAAGATGTGCCAAAACCGAGGGAAATACGTTTAATACACATAAGGGATTGAGAGAACATGCATGTGTGTGTGTGTCTGTGTGTGTGTGGTATGTGCACACACGTGTATGTTTGAGATTTTCAAGAGAGTTAAAATACATGTTATTCCTCTGCAGAATCCCAAAATGATTCAGGAAATTAATGCACCAGACACTAAGAAAACTAGAGGTGGCTGGAAGAGGAAGGATGACAGGTAATGAACAAAATGTTTAGATGAAGGTTTGCTTAATGAATGGTAAGAGGCCTTGAACCCACTTTCCTGCTCAGCTATGGGATTTCAGAAGCTAGGTATATGCTCCCCAGGCAGATCAGATGATCCTTCAATGAAGAAACTGCTTGGTATAGGAATAAGATATAAGGATTCCAACACTGGGAGTCCCCCAACAAAAACCTGAGTAGCCACCGGATCATGCACTGTGAAGCCCTTTATGCCAGCTAACAATGTAGTACAGAACTTCCATTCAGTTTATTAGTACTGAATCTTTAACATGAGCAGAAATCCAGAGATCAAACATATCAGAAATGAAAACAAGCAAACAAACAAAAAAGAGAAAACAGCACTGAGGGCAGAGAAAAATTTCAACTATCCTTAATACCCTCAAAGAAATGTTAAAAAGATATGCAGCCAGGGACTTCTCTGGTGGTCCAGTGGTAAAGAATCCACCTTCCAATGCAGGGGACGCGGGTTCAATCCCAGGTCAGGGAACTAAGATCCCACATGCTGCGGGGCAACTAAGCCAGCACCTCAACAAGAGAGCCCATGTGCCTCTAACTACAGAGCCCATGCACTCTGGAGCCCACGTGCCACAACTACAGAGCTCATGCGCCCTGGAGCCTGCGCTCCACAACTAGAGAGAAGGCTGCGCGCCACAACAAAGAGCCTGCATGCTGCAATAGAAGATTCCACAGGCCTCAATGAAGACCCCGCGTGCCAGAACTAAGAGCAGACACAGCAAATAAATAAATAAATATAAAAATAAATAAATAAATAAATAGATAGATAGATAGGACTTCCCTGGTGGCGCAGTGGTTAAGACTCCACGCTCCCAATGCAGGGGGCCCGGGCTCGATCCCTGGTCCAGGAACTAGATCCCACATGCATGCCACAGCTAAGAGTTCGCATGCCACAACTAAGACCTGACACAACCAAAATAAAATAAATATTTAAAATATTAATAAATATTTTTAAAAGTAAAAAACTTGGATATTAAAATTAAAAGATATGCAGCCATATAACAATAGGAGGCTAAGAAAAGGAATATTCAAAGAAGAGGAAAGATTCTTAGATACTAAAAATCTTACGGCAGCTATTAAAAATCCAATACAAGGTTCAAGGAAATACCTCAAAAAGTCAAACAAATCCTAGGAGACTGAGAAAAAGGAAAAAGGTAAGAAAATTAAATGATTAAAACAGAAGGTCCAATATCCAACTACTGAAAACAGAGAAAACCAAGAGAAAGAAATTATCAAAATAAGAATGTACACAATAATAACATTTCTAAGACTAGAAAGATGTGCTTTAAAGCATCCCAGATTGATAAGGCCCACTAAGCAAGCACAATTAACTAGAAGAAGAAAGTCCACACCAAAGCATTACAATTGCAGTTACAACAAAGATAAAGAGAACATTTTAAAAGCTTCCATGAAGAAAAACAAGTCACATAAAGAGAATTCAAAAGAATGGTATAATATTTCTCAAAAGCAACACCAGAAGAAAGATGGAGAAATGCCTTCAAAGCCCTAAGGAAAAATTACTTTCACCTCAAAATTCTACACCCCACTGGACCATCAATTGTTTCAGACATAAAGATTAAAAAAACTTTTTTTCATTCCAAGCATCTTTTATCAGGAAGTTATGGGATGTACTCCTCTAAAAGGCAGGCATGAACCAAGAAAGAGTAGGATCTAACAAGCTCTAATAAATAGAGCTTGATACCCAGGAAGAAGGTAAAGACATCTCCTAGAACCATGATAATGAGGAAATCCAAAAACTGCTGTACAACAGAATCAGAATACAGCAACCAGTCCAGATTACAGAAGAGGAGGTTCCAGGAGGGCTATCTCCAAGAAGAGGAAAAAAAATGTTAATTTACATTTCTCAGAACATAATTCTCTTTTTGTAATATTCAGATTAAGTAGAATAACACTAGATACATACATTTCTTAGTTTCAAAAAATAACTTATATAGCATTTGTACGTTGTGGAAAGTCAGTATTAGTACTGACTACTGAAAGTAGCTGTTGGAGGGGGTAGAAAATTCTAAATGTTTAAAGAAAGCCAGGCGAATGGGAAAAAGGGGGGAGGGAAGGAAAGGGGTAATTACAGGAAAAACAAAAAAGCTATGAAACCTATCCATACTGGAAAGATGAGGAATGGGAAGACAGGGTATAAGTGAACTAAAAATTCTCATCTACCATAACAGAATGATAATGTCTATACGTAGTGAGAGAGAAGCAGAAAACAGTAGAGTGCTACTGTTTTAAACATGTTGGAAAATATCAGAAGAAACGGCTAAAATATTTAAAGAGAGGTGGAGGGATCACTTTTTGTTACAAGCAGTTTAACAATAACTTTTTAAATTACATGTACATATCAATAATTTGATGAAAATAAAAACCAAAAACACATTTTAAATTCCTATAATCAGTAACAAAGACAATCCAAAAGTAAAATGAGCAAATGTCATGAATAAGCAATGTAAAAATGCCTTATATAGACAGCATTTGAAAAGATGGTAAACCAGGATGACCAACCTACAGATATGTGAACTAAGATAATGAAATAGTACTGGAGGTTAAAAAAAAAAAACATGGCATGACTATGGGAAAATGACTACCCTCATACACTGTGGGAATTTAAAATTGGTACCACTTTTAAAAGAACATTTGACAAAACAGAGCTGCAATTCCCTTTGACAGAAGTTACATTTCTAGAGTGTTCTACATAAACATTGACTTGTAAACAGATGTTCACTGAAGCACTAATGATTTCCTATAAATAAGAATTTGGTCAAATAAAATATACTACCTTGATACTATAAAACACTCTTGCAATGGTTAAAAAAATGGTAGGGAGAATTTCTAAAACATTCTGTTAATTTTTTTAAGAAATCAAACAAAAATATGTGTAATATGTATACACACATATATGTACATCTATGTGTATCTGAAAGCACACACCCCAAGTAATTAACCATGAGAGGAGAGATTGGGAACATAAGCAAAGGGGGTGTGGAATGGTGGAGGACTTTATTATGTACATTTTTTAATAATCATGCATAAGTTTACTATGTGTATCATTTTTTTAATAGTGAAAAAGAAAGTTAAACTTTTAGTTCAGCATTCATGAGTAGTTCTATTATCAATATCAGAATACTTGACTTATTTATATCTTTAAATACATTTAAGTATCAGTGTTTCACATACCCTCTTATTGTACTGTTTGTCTCAGGATCACCAGGGTCCAATGTTTCTTTTAAGAAGTTTACATAATGTATCCAAAGGTCAACACTAAGAGGTATTGCCTGAAGCCCCCGGCGATACACCTAAGAAGAAAACAACAAACTGTACTTCAAATATTTAATTATTTCTTAACAGAGAGGCAACACTGTGTTATCCGGTGAACCTTAGAAATACTAATTACTGGAATTTTGTTTAAATAATCTACCATTACCATTTGGGTGGAGGTTGGATAGAACATGGCAATGTTCTGATCCCCACGTGCAGAGTCTTGATCTTCAAAGCGCAGCAGTCCCTGCATTCTGACCGGGTTGTGTGGGCAGGCTTTGGGTTACAGACCATAGGGCACAGACCCATTAGAGCATCAATGACAGCGTCTGACCAAAAATGCAATAAGACGTAGCAAATGTGACTAGCAAACCAACTATATTGTTTGGAAAATGAGAAATAAATGTAAGTGAGAGAAAAGCCCTGCCCTACTTGTTAAGCTGCAGTGTAATACAGAGGCTTGCACTGCAAAGCTTGACAAACTGTAGAGGTTTAACGCACCTGCCAACAAAGAGAGAAAATATTAGCTACAAATGCCACAAGAGTGACAAATGCAAATAAAATACCCTATAAAATTGTTTGACCATAAATCGTAGGTACTGCCAGCCAAAAAAAGTCTCTGTTTTGTTATTATTTGGCTTACAGTACCTAATGGAGATAACTTTATTCAGTAATGTACGCACCTCATCTGATTGTTTAATGTTGTCGTGCCGCTTTTCGAGGTCTGCATACTTTTTCCAATAACCATAGCAATACGGATAGTGTATGAAAAATTTGTCAAACGCTTTCCTGGCAGCCATCAAGTGATTCTGATGAAAATAAAACAAGGTGTTTAAACATCTTGGAAATTTTTGTCACAAAAACTATTATTCCTTTCAAATGTACAGGCATACCTCAGAGATATTGCGGGTTAAGTTCCAGGTCACACAAATTTTCTGGTTTCCAAGTGCACACAAAATTTCTGTTTACACTATACTGTAGTCTATTAAGTGTGCAATAGCATTATGTCTAAAAGAACAATGTACATACCTTAATTTAAAAATACTTTGCTAAAATATGCCAAAACAATAGTAACATCAAATACCACTGATCACAGATGACCATAACATAATAATGAAAAAGTGTGAAATACTGCAAGAAATACCAAAAATGTGACAGAGACAGGAAATGAGCAAATATTGTTGGAAAAATGGCATCAACAGACTTGCTCGACGCAGGATTGCCACAAATCTTCAATTTGTAAAAAACGCAGTATCTGTGCAGCTCAATAAAGTGAAGCGCAATAAGACGAGGTATGCCTGTTATTATCTCAAAATAAACGGCAGGCTTAAAAACCACACACACAGCAGCCCTTTTTCCTACAAATGCAATCTTATCCTTTGAAACAGAAGGAACTAATTCTGTCAAACAGCAAAGTAATTTTTTTATTTCAGCAATTTTATACACACATACATACACACACCAATTATTACAAACATTAGACTTTGATTCTCATACTTTCCATAATGTACAAATGCTATGAAAGTTATTTTTGAAGCTAAAAAAATATTATCTAAAATGTTCTTCAACTTAATCTGAAAATTATAAAAGAGGCAACTTTAATTACAAAACAATAAGGCCTAGTCTGATATTACTTGATTTTTCTGTCCCCTCTAATCCCATTTAAATAGTTACTAACCTCCTGTTCTACATACTGAAGCAAATATACCCAGCCTGTAAAATCCTGAGGATTACTTTCTACAGTTTTCCAAAACTTTTCATATTCTGGAGGGAAATTTGCTTCTGTTTCTGTCACTGGAAGGTCCACAGTATTTGCTATTTCATTTTCTTCCGTAGTTGTATTCACATTAGGAGATCCATCGGGTGACTGTTCCATTTCTGTAACATTCATAATCTCAGTACTGAAATCAGTAGACTGATCTACCACTACCTCTGAACTGTTGCCTGTGCTGCCATTATTGGAATTTCTGTACTCATCCATGTGAGAATTTTGCATGGCTGTTTATTTTTTCTTCAGTTAATGATCTGTGGAAACATAAAGAGAAACATCTTCCAAATGTTTATTTGGCATCATCAAAACCACCTTTTAAAAGCCCAAGTTAGCTATTAAAGGAATATATTAATTTGATTCTTGAGCTCTCCTGTAAGTCATAATCAGAAGGTTTATTAGTTTTTATATTACAAATTGAATTCTATAACAAATTTTCCAAAATTCTGCCAGTTTATTGTTGACTGAGTAAAAACTAGCTCCTTCATCTATAAAAGTGAGTATTGAGCCTGCTCCCTAAAGAAGCAATCATATCTAGAATTCAGTGCTCCTTAGCTAAGAATCTAAATTTTAATATCTGAATACTATCTTGCTACCAATCCTGAAAAACAGCAATAACTTTAATATCTGTTCTGGAGGCTTTAGCTAACAAAACAAATTCTGGTCATGGATATAAATGTTTCAGTGGGAAATTCATAACTTAGCTCAGGACAGATTTTTAAGAAGGTTATACTGTTGAAATATATCTATAAATTTAAAATCCTAGCAGCTAGGTTTGATTTTATTATAGAAGATACACATTAAGGTTTTAAAATTAAAGAGTTGATTTTTAAAGTAAGTGTTATTAAAAACATAGTTATAAAAGAAATAATAAAAAAATAAAAATAAAAACATAGTTATAAGGGAATTCCCTGGCAGTCCAGTGATTAGGACTCTGTGCTCTCATTGCTGGGGCCCCGGGTTCGATCCCTGGTCAGAGAACTTAGGTCCCACAAGCCACGTAGCCAAAAAATAAAAAATCATAGGGCTTCCCTGGAGGCACAGTGGTTGAGAATCTGCCTGCCAATGCATAGGACACGGGTTCGAGCCCTGGTCTGGGACGATCCCACATGCCACGGAGCAACTAGGCCTGTGTGCCACCAACTACTGAGCCTGCGCATCTGGAGCTTGTGCTCCACAACAAGAGAGGCCGCAACAGTGAGAGGCCCGCGCACCGCAATGAAGAGTGGCCCCCGCTCGCCGCAACTAGATAAAGCCCACACACAGAAACGAAGACCCAACACAGCCAAAAATAAATAAATTTTTTAAAAAATCATAAAAAAAATATTTATGAAAGTTTCACCATCTGGATAGTTACTTCATAAAATCGTTTAAATTAAGTCATCTTATGGTTAAGGCCATAAAATAATAAGGAATTATTCTTTTATCCTGTAAGGTAAATACTACAATATATTTTCACAATTCACTTCATCTCTTCCACTAACAGTTTAAATGGAAACTGAATCATTAAATTATAGGGCATGTCTTCTTTTTAAATTAGGGATTATTCTCAAAACTAAACAGACCATAAAATTGATTTACTCCTAAAATATACTCAGAATACATAATTAGTTAATATTGCATAATATAATGTAAAAAAGGATTAAGACTAAAGGAATTCAAAGAAAGAAATGCAAGTGGCCAATAAACATATGAAAGGACTGAATCTTTACTAATAAAGATGTAAATTAAAACAATGAGATATCAAATTGGCAACAAGTAAAAAGATGTTTCTGGAGGACAGTCGCACAAAATATACCAAATGGCAATTGTGCATATTTTGTTATGTAAATAATCAGATAAAAAACATTTATTTGTTTAAAAGCATTCACTAGAACACTATTATAGCGAAAAAAAGAGGGTAGTATTAAGAACAGTGCTTTAGTAGGTGGCATATTTGTACAATGGAATAATAATTTAAAAGGAAATATGTGCACCTGTCTTGGTATAGAAAGATAACCACTATATATATACTATATGCATGCTACACACAGATCTGTAAGGATTTATATCAAATAAAATACACTAACAATATTAGTTGGTGTTAATGGCTGTTCTCCCCATATAACTGGGCTGACGCTTTCTTCTTTTGGCTTATCTGCAATTATTTAACTGAAGTTAAAAAAAAAAAAAAAAAAGAGGTATTTTGTTTCATTTGTTTTGTTTTTAAGAAAAACCAGCTCCAGATATGCCATGCCAGTGGTTGGCTGGATACAATTTTTTTTTTTTTTTTGCAATTTTATGCCTACTTTAAAAATCTGGGTTTCTCTATAGTCTATACAACCTAGCTCCACATAATAGTCACCTAGTAAGCTATTTTCTTTAAATACATATTCATTGGCCCCAACGCCAATGATTCTCAGTTCTAGGCTCAGGCCCAGAAAGTTGTACCTCTACCATGTTCTCTGAATGATTCAGAGGAACAGAAACTTATTCACGGGTAAACTCTGAACAATGGAACTGTTGCATCAAAGATCTGTGTATAAATGTGGGAATACGCTGACAACTTATCTTTAAAAAAGTTGTACCAGCCGTGTGACAAGACAATTTTAGCTGACTAGCCAACATTCCCTCTCACCATCTTCCTAATAAAACACTGTTTTGGTTCAGAGCAGCAATATACCTAACCCCATGTAAGGATTATGAGTCTGAAAAGCACATCTGCTGCAGAGCTCTGGGAACAATTTTGCTTTTCTGATAAAAGGGACAGTCAACAAATAGTGTAGGCTCTACCACTTTCTTCTTACTTTGAATGTGAACATATCTGAAACAACTTGTATTCACAAAGCAGTCAAAAGAACTGGCCAAGAAAATTAAGAAATGCCAGCCCTGACATCAAGCTGCTAATAACACAATGCCAGCTTCATACTGTGTAAGAAAATAAGTCCCTATTTGCTTAAACTAGTATCAATAGATGAGTTTTTCTATTACTTGCAGAAAAATGCATTCCTAACTAACCCACTAATGAGACATGGACATGAGAATGTCCATTTTTCCATCTCCTCTTGTCAGCACTAGGTATCATGAAACAATTTTTGCTCATCTGATTAAAAAAAGGAAAGAAAGTAGTACCTCATTTTGATTTGCATTTCTTTAACTACAAAGATGTTGAATTTCTATTTCCTTTTTCCCCTTAAATACTATTTCACATCCTTTGTCTATATTTTCTTTTTAATTTATTTACTTATTTGTTTATTTATTTATCTATTTTTGGATGAGTTGGGTCTTTGTTGCTGCACGTGGGCTTTCTCTAGCTGCGGCGAGTGGAGGCTACTCTTCGTTGTGGTGTGCGGGCTTCTCATTGCGGTGGCTTCTCTTGTGGCGGATCACGGGCTCTAGGCGTGCAGGCTTCAGTAGTTGTAGCTCGTGGGCTCTAGAGAGCAGGCTCAGTAGTTGTGGCACACAGGCTTAGTTGCTCCGCGGCATGTGGGATCTTCCTGGACCTGGGCTTGAACCCGTGTCCCCTGCATTGGCAGGCAGATTCTTAACCACTGCGCCACCAGGGAAGCCCTGTCTATATTTTCTACTGCATTTTTTATTAATGGTTTGCAAAAGCTCTCTCTAAACTAGAAAATGACACACATTGTAAAACATTTTTGAGTTTGTCTTCTTACTAATTTTAGGTTTTTTCTGTGTGTATGGAAAGCATCTTTTAAATTGTCATGTAGATTTGATATCCAGATTTTAAAATATGTCCACTATTTCAAAATGCAGTATAAAGCAGTTTTTCCAAAGAAAGGATAAATTTAAAATGTCGAGTCAACTTTGAGGCTAAATGCCACTGGAAGAATTAGTTATAACCAGGTAAATCTAAGGAATATTTTTTAAAAAGGAGAAGAAGAAGAGGGAAAGCAGAAGAAGGAAAGTGGGGGAAGGTCAGGTGGGGACAAAAAAAAAGTTTTCAATACTTGATCCATATCCAGCACTATACTACATTCCTTATAGAGAATACATAGGTATAAGATAAGGTCCTCACTCTAAGGTTTATTAACTATTAGTAGTTGGAGAGTGATAAAAAAAAACATGCAAAACAATTAGAGAGACAAAATTTCAAATGAAACAAAGTCAAAGTTTAGGAAAATCAATTGAACATTATAGGCATCTAGCAAACCTTCATGAAATATAGAATTTGGTCTTCACTTTGAAAAACTACAGATTTTGGAATAATAGAGAAATAATGATAAATTATTCCAAAATAGTGAATAGCCCACTTAACTTGACAGAACAACCCTTCTTATTAACAGTAGACAAGAAGATGGAAATTAGGACTGGTTCCAAGACAAGAAGGAAATAAGACTGACCAGAATGAAGAGGGTCTGCATTGAGGAAGTGAAATGAAAGTAAGCAATGTGGAGAGCAAGAGGAATCTGAGAAGAAATAATACAACCAAATCTAGTTGGTACACGATAAAGGACAATCCCAAAGTATCAATATTAGACTACTAGAAAAAATAGTTCCCTTCTACTTGAATGACTGATTATTGTCATAAACGTTTCCGGGTTTACCAGTTGAGACCCTAGGAAAAGGGGCAGAAGCTTTTCAACTTATTTTGGTCTCTTTTGCCCCCTCCTTTAAAGAAAAGACACATTTGAAGACTAATCTTCCATATACAAATTAGTCATTATTTTGTATCTTTATTTCAAAGCATACTGTCAAAAAAACAAAAGGAAAGTTGTTAGTTGATACATTCTGATTCATTTACTACTGTTCTAACTGCATACTTAAGTGGGACATAAGGGTTTCTTCTGGAATCAGCAAATTTACCACACCCCTGCATCTTCAGAAATGATCAATTACTCCACACCCTGCAATTACAGTGTTATAAAAAGAGTTAAGGGGCTTCCCCGGTGGCACAGTGGTTGAGAGTCCGCCTGCCGATGCAGGGGACACGGGTTCGTGCCCTGGTCTGGGAAGATCCCACATGCCGCGGAGCGGCTGGGCCCGTGAGCCACGGCCACTGAAACTGCGCGTCCGGAGCCTGTGCTCCACAACAGGAGAGGCCACAACTGTGAACGGTCTGCGTACCGCAAAAAAAAAAAAAAAAAAAAGAGTTTACGCCAGCCTTACCCTTAGGGAGATCACTTTTCTGATTACTTTAAAAAATCACATGGCCAAAAGAAAAATACACTAAAGTTATTTTTTAATAAGTTATTCTAACATATACTTCATAATGTGGCAACTACTAGTACCAGTTTATTCTTAACAACCACCAATAACT